TATATATATTCACATACATTTTAAACATCTATTAAAAGGAGATACCTTATAAGGTGTCACATTGCCCCTAGTCGAAACCATAAATTAGAAAAGAAAAAGCCCCCACTGCCAGGAATGGACTCTTTTTTTGAAGCTATTGACTTGGGGTCCCACTGGCCATTGTCCCTGCTCTCATTACCCACCAGGACTTGATGGTAAGACCCTAGTATATTCACTTTTTAAATCAGCTTTAAAACTCAAGAGTTTCTGTATTGCATGTTCCTGCACACTTCCTGTTTCCGATCCCCCTCTCTCACTGCCCTCCCTCTTCCTCGTCCTCCCTCACAGTCACTTTTGTCCTGATACACAATTTCATGCTTTCATTTCACATGGCTTTTTTCCCATTACTCTTTCTTTCTGCCCTCTGGGGATGTAATTTTCACATCTGATTTCAGGTTTCTTATATTATGAACTATGCCTGCTCCCACATATGAAAATTAAATCTTGGATTAATTTTATCAGAGAAAATCTGTAACACTTGTCTTTCTCGTCAAGGAAATTCATGTACTTCACATAATACAAGTTATTTTACTTTTTATATATTAATGTTTTTGTAAGTAGAATTTCTTTTTTATTTTATATTTGCATAAAAGTAAATATTGCACCTACTTCATATGCTTTGTCAATTGCCCCGGGCCACTTACCCACATACCTGTAACATATCTCCGTCCAGGGTCATGTGCTCCATTGTTGTTGTTGTCTTTTTGATTCCTTGGTTTTGAGTAGTCAGGTATTCCTGACTCTTGAAATGTTAATGTCTTCTTGACTTGATCATCTGTAAGAAACCATACCTGCACAGTTCGTGAATGCAATACCATGTCACGTCCAGAAGTCAGCTCTTCACAGAAGTTTTCCCTGTCATTAAGTTCTGAGATTCTCTCTGGTCCCTCCTTAAACATGGTCCCTGAGCCTTGGGTGGGCAGTTGACATGGATGTGCCATTTAGGGCTGAGGAAGCAGTAGTCACTTATTCTCATCACTTTGACCAGTCATGTACCTCTGTATTGACAGCCACCCACTGCAGAGAGATGCTTCTTGGGCCGAGGTGGAGGACAGCACTTATCTATGGGTATAAGAATCAGTATTTAGAAATCAGAATGACATTTTGTTCAGAAAAGCAATAGTGATAGGTTCATCCCTAGGGCATATGACCTCTGGAACCATGAGCTTTTTACCAGGTGAGCACCAAATCTGAATTTCTTGTGTGGAGTAGGCCTCCATTCCAATGCAAAAACACTGGTTACTCAAGTAACCTTTGTGGACCTGCACTGGGGGCACATCTTGCCTGTTTGGTCAATATTGTAGCATGTGGCATTCATAGAAGAGAGACTATTGATGGCTCTTACCCCCAGTGTCCTACATCACACTTTCTCTCACTGTAAAATCTGGCCATCAAGAAGTTTTTAGTCTGTTCCAGCTTGATCTCTATGTCTTGTAACCACAGTGTGGTATCTTTTCTGCAATAGGGTCTTAATAGCTAGTTATGGTGTGTAATTGAGAGCAATGGCAAGAGCCTGTGTTTCTTTGGAGGTGTCTGTGGCTTCCATGACCAGTAACATGTCCGTATGCCTGGCACTGACACTTGCATCCATGTGTTCTGGGAGGTGCCTTTTGCACATATGCACGGTACCTATGTTCACACTCCTTCAAAAGCTACATATTTTTAAGTTTGCTTATAATGTAGGGATTTCCATACATCTTTAGTTTTGGTTAACTTATCCCAACCACCCTCCTTTCCCCTTTCCCCCATCTCTGCTTAATCTTCTAATTCCCAGTACTTAATTTGGGGGGGGGGGACAAGGGGGGAGTTGTGGTGGACTGGAAGGGATGGAAATAATGCAAAGACAATTCTCATGTAATAAATTATTTTAAAAAAGTTAATAATCCAAGCCGGGCCTGGTAGCACATGCCTTTAATCCCAGTACTTGGGAGGCAGAGGCAGGCAGATCTCTGTGAGATCGAGAAGAGTCTGGTCAGCTGAGATTACAGGGAGACCATGTTTCAAAAAGACCAAAAAAAAAAAAAAAAAAAAAGTTCAGAATCCATAGCCATCAGGGAAATGCAAACTAAAACTACTTTGAGATTTTGTCTTAAGCTAGTGAGAATGATTAAGATGAAAACAAATAACAACTTCCAGTGCTGGTTTTGGAGTTATAAAAGATACAAGGGTGAGGAGCTCGTTGAGTCTTCCTTTGGAGTCAGAGGTGCTGAGGCATGGCAGTGTGTAGCAGAAGAGTCCCCACATAAAGCAAGTCCTGTCAGGACAAGACACCCCGAAAGGCCATTGTGTGAAGTTGTGAAAGATATGTCTTGGGTACAGGTGGCAGGAACCCCATGATGGTGGTGATGCTAGAGCCATGGCGTATCTGCTAAGACCAGCAAGGGAAGAAGGGAACCAGCTTCCCATTGAAACAAAAGTCCTAGATGTTATTTCCTTTTTTATTAGTATTAATATTGGCCTTATTTTGCTTTCTGTGTTGCTGATGGTGGATTCCTTCTGGGATATGGTACATTCATTAATTACCCCCGTCCCCCCCCCCTTTTTTTATGGTCTTTTTGAGACAGGGTCTTCTGTAGCCCCAGCTGGCCTGGAACTCACAGAGATCAATCTGCCTCTGCCTCCTGAGTACTGGGATTAAAGGTGCGTGCATCACCACACATGACTCCATCAATTACTCTTTACAATTGCATTCTGACTTCTGTTTCCATGAATGAGAGTGTCTTTTTCCTCTGTATCCTGATTGCATCCATAAATTCTGAAATGATGGCTTTCTTTCCTTGAATTGGTGCATTTCTTCAAATGCTCTTCCTCCTCCATCAATTTCAAGAGATACTTTTTCTGCCAATCAATTTTTTAAAAATAAATAATTTATTGAGAATATATAAGGTGTTTTGCATATAAGGTGTTTTGATCAAATCCATGCCCACTCCCTCCCCTCCAACTCCTCCCATATCTCCCCAT